GAGATCGTTGAACGGGTTGGTCCTGTAGCCTACCGGTTAAGATTACCACAAGAGTTGAGTGGTCTTCATGATACGTTCCACGTGTCAAACCTAAAGAAGTGCCTAGTAGATGCACACTTACACRTGCCACTAGACGAAATCAAGGTAGACAACAGTTTACGTTTTGTGGAGRAACCCGTTGAAATCATGGATCGTGAAATAAAGAAATTAAAGCGGAGCAGAATTCCGATCGTCAAAGTTCGATGGAACTCCAAACRGGGACCAGAATTTACCTGGGAGCGGGAAGATCAAATGAAAACCAAGTATCCACATTTGTTCCTYTGATCGAATCTCCAGCATTAGTAAMAATTGAATTTCGGGACGAAATTCTTCTAACTGGGGGATGCTGTGACATCCGTCACCAAACCAGGTTAGTCAACCGTAACTCGAAACCTAACGTTAGCCCTTTTAGTAAATTTATGTGCTCACATGCTTCCTGAAACATAAGGTGTGAAATTTTAGGAGTTGGGTGGGTTCCTTTTTTTACTGCCTCAATCTTACTGGGGTCCACATGAATTCCATCGTTGTTAACTACATGACCGAGAAATTGTACCTCTTGCAACCAGAATTCGCATTTCGAAAACTTGGCGAACAACTTCTCTTTCCTAAGTAACTCTAGGATTAGTCGTAGGTGTGCCTCGTGTTCTTCCTTGGACTTCAAATAAATCAAGATGTCGTCAATGAAGACGATAACAAATTTATCCAGATATGGCTTGCACACGCGGAATGAGCCATCCTTCTTCTTGACAAACAGAACAGGTGCACCCCATGGTGAGTGACTAGGTCGAATGAAACCCTTGTCTTGGAGCTCTTGAAGTTGGTTGGACAACTCTTCCATTTCAGTCGGCGCCAAGCGGTACGGTGATCTGGCAATAGGAGTCGCTCCGGGAATTAAATCTATGCGAAATTCAACTTGTCGAGGAGGGGGCAATCCCGACAGGTCTTCAGGGAATACTTCAGTAAAATCCCGAACAACCGAAATATCTTCGAGTTTCCTCTCATTTGCTTTCGTACTCATAAGATGCTTCGAATCTTCCTGAGGCCGATCTCCATGAACCAGGAGTACTGCACCGTTCGACATGGGGATTCGAACTATCTTTCTCGTGACAAACTATTACCGCCCTAACCTTCGCCATCCAGTCCATTCCCACAATCACGTCAAAACTTCCATACCCAAAAGGTATCAAGTCAATAGCGAAAGGATAACCCCCTAATACTAAGTTGCACCCACAAACAACCTTATTAGCTTCTACCTTTTGACCACTTGCTACTTCTACCATAATACTAGAGTCCAAATTACTAGGTTTCATATCCGTTAGAGTCACAAATTTAGTGGAAACGAAACTATAATCAGCACCGGAATCAAATAGTACAGTAGCATAGTAATTGTTTAAAGTAAAAGTGTCCGTGACAATGTTAGGATCCTGCCGAGCCTCGTTTGCTCCCATGATAAAGGCTCTTCCACGGATTGGATTGCCACCGCTCCCCTGGTTTTGGTTTCCCTCGATAGCTGGCGCTTGCTTTAGGCGATTCCCACCTTGATCCTGTGCTCTGTTCAGCCTAGGGCACGTCACGCCCCACGAGTAACTGTCGGGTTTATTGCATTTACCGGAGTCACCAACCCGGCCCCTACCCGACAATCCTTTGCATAGTGCCCCAATCTATTGCATGTTGTACAGGAACGACACGGCGTACTGGGATAATGATGGT